GAAATGATAAATTGAAAACAGGATCTGCAACAAAATGCGACAGAATGACTTTGTTTACGTTCTTCAGCTTCTGTGAATTTACTTGTTTGATCTCGACATTATTGAGCAGCTTTTGAAAATAAAAAGCTCCCTTTGCTGAGCAATGGGCCATCCATCAATTTCTTTACCTGTTATTCTTTTGTTTTCAGCTGCAGCCATTAGAGGAGCTTTAGCTCGTGGAAAAGGTCACCATTCTAAAACAGTTTACACCAAAGATGCTCATGGGAACAGAAAAGATGTCCTTGGTTTTGAGACAACTTATATATGATGATCTGAATGATTAATTTAATCATTCAAAATGTGTTTTTATTCATTGCTGTAAGAATGTTTGACGTGAGTCCAGTCCAATTCTTTGATAAAGCCAAATAACGATAATGATGGAAACAACAGGAGCTGCCAGTAGGAAGTATAGAGGAAATAGTTTGTGTAGAATACTAAACGTTATACACACCACAGGTGATTTTTTAAAAATTTAAGATGTTTTATGCAACCCTGGCTGAAGAATTAGGATCCACCATTTTGCACTAAATACATGCAGACTTGATCCTCCTACTCCTAGATGGAAGAGCTGGTGCATTCCAGCTTTTGGTCTGTTTGAAAATCAAAAACAAACAAACAAACAAACAAACAAACAAACAAACAAACCGCAATTTAAACAGGAACAGGTCATTTTGAGGCCAGTAGCAGCAACACTAATCCAAATAGAGAAGAATCCAGTTGACTGAGAACAGAAACAGTTGTATTTGTTTTAGATCCTCACTCATGTGAGCTCTCACCTGGTGGAAATTAACACCATGGCCACCAGAACTGAGCTGGATGTGTCGACTCGCTGCCTCAGTTGGTGTGATTGACTGGGTAGCTCGAGTCATGCTCACATACGTGTAAATATGACTGAGCATGTGTGTTTATGAGTGTGTGACTCAGCTGGCTTTATTCTTTGTGGTTTTTAGACTTTGTTGGCAAAATCAAATTAAGACGTTAAGTTTTATTTGAAACCTGAAGTGGCAAAAAAAAAATCCCCACGGCGTTTTATAATAAATATTTGATATGCAGGCACCACTAAACCACCAGAAGTGTGCAGCCTCCAAAACACAGGGCTGTGAGGAAGTGAGGGAGAAAATGATGATGAAACTGGAGTGTAAGACACATTTTTTACACGTTTTTTTAAAACTTGCTATTTGTGTGAAAGGCTGTTTCTCCATGTTAAACATGGTAACAGCTAAGTTTGCTCCTTGTAGATTGTGTCAGCCTGGATTTTGTGCATTTCTTTTTTCAGAAAATATTCTCATGCCTAATTGTCACCAAATAAAATATTCAATTAGAATAATTGTTCTAATAAAATACCTTTATTTATATGTGCATTTATGCGTGCCATCATTGACATTTAAGCCTTAATATCATTGATATTTAAGTCTTACAAACGCATCCACGTCAGCCAGCCACTCCTCCAGCTTAACTGGCTGTTGATTAACTTCAGAGTTCATTTCAAAATCCTGGTTCTGTTCTATAGGTCATGGACACCTACATCATACATCGGTGATCTTCTCAGTCCCTACACCCCCAGCAGGTCCTCGAGGTCCAGTTTCACTTTTATAGGGCTTGTGGTTCCAGGAAGGGCGCTATACTTGTCTTCTTCTGTAGTTTTATTTAAATATGAAATGTTTAAACAAATACAATCTATGATTATTATTACAGGCTATGTATAAACATTGAAGAACATGCATTAATTTTGTCTCTGCTTTTATCCCTGTGTTGCTGCGTAGCTCATTTTTCCTTGTGCAGCATGAAAACATGTATTTCAGTCAGTATTGGTATGGCTTTATGTTGCAGTGCACCATAGGGCTTACAGGAATTATTTCCACATACAACAACAATAAGAACAAGAAGAAAAAACAACATTTAACATTTAAAGGTTGAATATGGAACAACTGAATAAAAAGCTATTTGTTTAAAAAGTATGATTTACACGGGGGGTTTAGAGGTGTGCAGGATCAAGGTACAGTATTTCCTTTATAGCTATATTCTAATCAAATGTTTATTTTAATGGGCACAACACTGGGTTTATGTTAACATCTACCAGCCAATAGAGGGCACCGTTGCACATTGCCCATCAGTCTGATCAACACAGCAAGGCTGGCACTGTCGAAAAGGACAGACTCTGCAAGTCAGAAGGTGAAGTCTACAACAGATGAACCCAAATAAAAAAATTAACCTGTAATAGAAGAGCACATCGCTCATCATCCAGAGGACATCAGGTGCTCCGACAGCCCATGGGACATCAGATGTAGAGAATAAAGTGTGGCTGGAGCAAACTGGTCCTTAGTACTTTAACAAGTGCAAAACAAACAGAACTGACGTTTCGACAGATCATGTCTTCTTCAGAGTGACCATGAACTCTGAAGAAGAACATTTTAGGTTTAATAGATTTAGTTTACAATCATGACAACTCTGAGGGGTGTGAATTTTTTTTTAGTGCCTTTTCTGTTCAAGTGGAATTTAATGCTCACATTTCAGAATAATTAATGAGCATTGGATCCACGTGACTTTAGAGCAAGCTCCGGGGAAAGGCCTCAGCCTCACGTTAATAGACGTTTGGCCCTTCCGACTCTCTGAACTTTAGTTTTTTTCTGTTCGTTCATGTTTGGGTGTTGATCATGGAATTAGTAAGACACAGAGGGCAAGCTGTGGTTATTGATTGCAGGTCATCCAAGCAGTTTCTGCTTCTTTTTATTAGTAAGTTTGATTTACTTTCTTTCCTTTGTTTTCCTCCTCCAACCCCACAAATCTCTGTGTGTCCTCCTACAGCACTCCCGAAGGACAACAGACATTAATACCAATACAAAAAAATGCTGGCATGTTGTGTAAAAACTGCTATTGTTAGCATATTTTTAGGTCCAACGTGTTGCTACCAAATTTAGGGTGTGAGCAGTCAGGTCGCATCTGAGAACTGGGTCGTGCAGTGTGAGCACATGACTCGTGATTTGCTCTGCGAGGAAGTTTGAGCTGAAACTGATTGTTATAAATGAAAAAGTTCCACAGAGTTTGCCCACCTTAAGTAACACATTGGTTAATTTGTTCCAACTGCAACAGCCCCACCCTCAGCTCCACTTCTTTTCCCTTTTTGGATTGTCTGGGTGTGACGGGGTGTGTGACACAGTCAATAAATAAATAAATAAATTATATATATATATATATATATATATATATATATATATATGTATGTATGTATGTATGTATGTATGTATGTATATGCTCTGCAGGTTGGTTTAGCCTTGCTTCCTTGTAGCCTCAGCAGATCTACCATTGGACTAGACAGTTTTGTGTCTAGCCAGTCACAGCACTCTTTGTTTGTAGACAATGGGGGAGGTGGTTTAGCACCAGAGCTGCGATGGAAAAAAAAAATACAAAGATGACGTTGGCTCTGAAACGACGCTCATTTGAAACAGCTTTAGACTTGGGCTTTTCTTGACATGACATGAGCAAATAAAGGTACTTAAAGACCCAATTGCAGGTTAATTATTTTTTCTTACTGATATAAAATGCTGTACAAAAAATACTATTTGAAATGCTTATTGTGGATATTTTGTTTTAAAATACATAACAGCAGAGTATTCTAGTATAAAGTGGCCTTTCTCAGCAAAGCTTCTAAAAAAGCTATTTTTTCTAAATCTGTACCTCTGACGTGACCGAAGGGAGTATAGGCGCTGCCTCAGCTCAGTGTGGAGAGTGGCTAGTTTTAGGGTAGAGAGGTCATGTTATCCAGTCAGTGTGTGTTTACTAGTTATGGATTGTGTTCATGTTGATAAATAATAGTTTGTGAAGGCTGTACCAACTCCAGCCTGTCTGGACATCGAGTCCACGGGTTTCCAGATAAGAGAAACAGCGCCTCTATCTCCGTGCCTGAGGGTGTTTAGTGCAGCTGAAAAGACGGACTTCTGTAGCCCACATTGGTTGGTACTGGGACAGGGAGGTCCGCGCTGGGCTCCGGAGACCCGTGGCGGGGTTTAAAAAATGAAATGCGAATTTCTGGAACTCAGATCACCGTCAGAACCAGGTCAGAACAAGGTCAGAACCAACCAACAGAAGAGACGCACAGCTCAGCGGGCCAGTGGAGCTGGTTTCCGGGTCTGAACCGCTGTGGACCTCCAGGAGAGGATGTGTGGCTTTAAAAAATACCAGCTCAACCGGCTCACTGGTATCTGGGTTGGATCCAGCTCACAGAAGCCCACATGAGGTCCAGAACTGGATGAAAGACGTCTCTCTCCCTCTCTAAGCGCTAAACTACGTTACATGAATGGATATTAACGAGTACGAGACAGCTGACAGACGCTCATTTGTATTAATATTGTATTAACTGACCGATACTATTTTAACTGTCTGGTACATGATGGTAACCTGTACAATATTGTGATGTTAGCACACAAGTTTAAGCTAGCATCGTTAACTCACCTGCTTCTTCTTCAATGGGACCCTCTAACAAAAAAAATTATGTGGTGGTCTGGCCTGTTCTCTGATTTCCATGGAGATGAATATGTCACCTTGTTCGGTGAAAGAAACAATTGTAGATTCTGTCCCATTACTGAACTCTGTCTTTGGGTAGCTAGCCCATATATTCACATATACAGGATGACTTACCGGTTTCCTACTACAGACCTCCTACAGGTAACTTTGGATACGAGCATCTGCCACGTAAGGAAATATAAACACAATTCAACCTCAAATCCCTCCAGAGTGTTCGCTCACAAACTCAGACTTCTACTTTAAAAAGCTCAAAGTTTTCTGATGGAGAAATGAAAAGGGCTTGTCTCCAACATAAAACACCGGCGTAGACTCCCATAAATGCAAATACTGAACCGGCTGGGCCTGTGCCTCAGAGGTGAGTGGTTATGGAGCCATGGCAATGGCGGCTAGATACAAGTAGACTTGTGAATTTGTTGGAAGCACCACTCAACACAGGTGTGTACAAAGTATATAATCAAGTGTATTTTCATCTTTATCCACGTTCTGTACACATATTAAGATCCATTTCACATGAACACTATACAATAGCAATGAGTGAGGAATGGAGTATTTTCTGAGTGCCGAGCAGCTCATGTTGAATGGCACTTTCATAAAAAAAAAGTTAACAGGAATTTACAGAGCATGAATAAAGAACAAATGGCTTTATATAATCAGAATCTGCACATATAAAATGCACAAAAAATAGATTTGGTTGATCCTTGCGTTTTCTGTATGACCTGGATGGTGAACAGTTCAAAAACACAAGATGTTTGCAGCTATTGGAGGAGCGGAGTGTGCTTTTTGTCCAAATTTATGTAGAAAGTAACCCAAAATGTGATGTGTTAAGAAGGGCGGCAACAAGATACATCGAAATATCAGAGAAATATCATTACAATTCACAAATTCTTTAATTATTCATCCCATAGAATAGTCTTTTGATAACTTATAGAAAAAAAAATCTTAAACAATACATGTTTGGCTGCTTTACAAGGAATTTCTTTGCCTTGGAGATATGCTTCCATTTCCTGTGTGCTTTTGAAATACCCAATGACAGTTTTAAGGAAAGCGAGGTGCATTTTCCATCAGCAACCAGAAAATCTTCTTTAAATGTGATTCTGTGCTTCTCAAAGCTCCTCGGGCCGCTTGGACGCAGTCATGAGAAAAGGAGGGCTACTGAGTATCCTTTGGGGGTGCTCTGTCAATCTAACCTTTATATGTACAGTACATTGAATCAGTGTTTTCTAGAGAAAATACTTCCGCTTTTATTGGACTTGTTCACACTTACCCCTACTAGGAACATCATGGCAGACGGCCAATTCTCACACAAATAAAGTTTCTGAATTATCGGACTGGGAAGATTCACTGAGAGCGCGTTTTCTTCTCTTTCAGATGCTGTATGTTTTTTTTAAACAATACTGTGTCCTCCTTTACAGCACAACACCTCCATGAGCAGAATTACTCCTCCTGCTTCTCGTGGACGCACACAGACAGAGTTTCAAAGTCACATAGATAATGTGGAGGCTGCAGATGCAATGTCTATCCAAGTAAAGGCTTTCTCTTTGAGTGTGCTTAGGATGACTGTTGGGCGCTCTCAGCTCATCTATCATAAAAATTCAATAACTGGCCTGTTCTGCCTCATGTGTCATAATGGGGACATTGAGACTCAGGATGGAGCATTACAAAGTAGTCCAAAGAAACTGGATGTTCTCAGCACTTTCCTCACAGTACCATATCCATGCTATATACAAAGCCAAAGTGGATGTTCCCCTTCCTAGCTAAAAACATGAACTAAAATCATATGCTGCTAACAAAGAAACAGTGAATGCAGACTGAGTGCCCATTTTGACACGGAGAAAGAGTCAGATCTTGTGTCACAGAGCAGAATTTGTCACTACACAGGAAGCCAGGAAACCTCCACTGCTGGAATCATGTAAAAGTAATATATATTTGCTTTGTGCAGTTGAGTTCTTGTGACTTTTAAAAATTTCCGACAGAGAACCTGACAAGTTCAGGCAGCAAAATGAAAGCTTCCTCCTCCTCCTGTCTCAGTCCCCATTCTCCTGCAGTTTCAAACATAATATTCTTTATCTTTGTTCTTTTTGCCCTTTGTGATGGCCTTGGCCACAGAGGCAGTCGCTGTGCTTTTGTCTTTGACCACTGCGCCGTTGCCCTCCGCAGTGGAGCTGTTGGCGTAACTGTGGCTCTGGTCTGCCGGGTAGGAGCCCTCGTCCCGGTTCCGGTACTTGTACATGGCATAGAGGAGGATAAGGATGCAGAGAGCAGCAGCAGCCACGATGCCAACCACCATTCCTGTGGTGCTACTGGACTCCCTGATCACCTCCACGGCACCGGGCTGGTTCTTATCATCGGAGGCGGTGGGGTTGGCTGTGGGCACATGGGGAAAATTGGGGGGGTAAGTTAGTCCTGGCGTGTTTCGGGAGGATGGGGGGGCAGGAGGCAGAAGCACCTGGTCACGGTTGTGTTTTTTGCCTGCGGGAATGTGGAGCTGGTCAGGGTTGGTGGTGGGAACAAAAGGAGGTAGGGGGCGGGGTTTATGGACTCCACCCTCACCAGCAGCGGGAGGTGGAGGAAGGACTGTCCTGTCAGTGACCATGGGGGAGTTATTATTGTGAAAGTCCTCATCGTCAGATTCCGTCATCTCCCCTGAGCCGAAGGCCGAGACTTCCACAGGGTCACCGCAGTCCTCCTGGTCCGGGGGGCAGGAAGGGTGAGGAGGGAGGATCAAGGACTCTCTGGTGGTTTCAAGAGGGGAGAGGAGGGTGGGAGGAGGAGGGATGACGGGATAATGGGTGGCGATGGATGGGGGCTCAAGGGAATCCACTGTTATTATAGGCAACACTAATTCACCTCCTAGAAAGGAAAGAAAAGAGGTAAGGGATCCTAAATTAGAATGAGCAATGATGCAGAATATTCCTGTGGTGTCATTTTGCTGCATCATCATCCTAAAAGTATGATACTGACATAAGTGGGAGCCTGAAACAGAAATCTTCAATAACACAAAGATAAAAGGCTACAGGAAAAACACGAAAAGCTTAAATTCAGACAAAAATGTACACAGAGCCATGAAAGGCTGCAGATGAATGCAGAGCGAATAAAAGAGAAGTAAATAAAAGAGCCAGCCATGAACAGCGCTCGTGCACATGTGGGTGGAGGTTCACGTCCTGCCTGGGACTGACTCTTAGCCGTGAGTCTGTTGGTCAGGAAAAGCTTTCATGCCAGCTTCTGATCTAAGCCTCACAATTCATGTGATTTAGTCAGAATTTAGATCCACCATTGTGCAAATTGTTTATTTAACCTTCCTCTATATTTTGTTTTTAGCAGTTCAAAGTATCTCAGATATTTTATCAAAGTCTTCAGCATTTCTCTTTAGCCTTTTGTTTATTTCATACTTTCTGTCTGTTCCTCGAACAGAACCATGAAATCATTAATATGGAACTTTAAAAAGGGTCAAGGCCAACCAAACAGAACCATCTAAGAGTCAAGTTATTCAAAATCATCCATTAACGACTTGAAACCAGACCTGATTAATCTAAAGTTTGATAGGTTTTCTGCTATTATCTCTTTGTTGAAGCACTAGAAGCCTTTTATATGTCATGTCTTCGTATTTAACTTCCGTTAAAAACAGGAAAGAGTGCTCAAAGATCTCAAATGTGGTCCTTTACCATAAATGTCTCTTATATGGTTCATCTCTCAAATTTAGGGGCCTTTTCTGCCAGAATGACTCAAATGTTAAATAAATAAATGAATAAGTAAACAGTTGCTTTTTGAACTGAAAATGAGAGACAAATTAGAAACCTTAACCCTCCCACTGTCTTTATAGGAGATCCCGCAAGGAAAGTTGACCATTGAGCAGGATTGATGGTTCATCCCTTGAGGTCCACGTGGCAGGGGTGAGGTGGAGCTCTCTCCTCACCCCTGCCACATGGACCCAAGGGATAAACTCTGCTCAATGGTCAACTTTCCTCGCGGGGTCACACCCATTACGACAGTGGGAGGGTTAATAGAACGACAGATTAAATTCATTTTATCAGATTAGGAAAATAAATAAGAGAACATAGAAACAAAAAATACAGAAATAATAATGAGTCAAGATTTCGGCACAGCACTAAGCCACTTGGTGAATGCACACACACACACACACACACACACACACACACACACACACACACACACACACACACACACACACACACACACACACACACCCTTATGGATTCTCTTTCATCTTGATTTCAGTCACACGCTGCAGTCAACACCCAGCTTTCCTGATAAGGTCATATTATTAACGGAGACAACCATAATAAGGTCAAACTCATTCATAAGCTCCTGAGTCTGTCCTAAAGACCACTCTGTATAGCTCCAGCCAAACTGATGAGCTGAATGACCAAACTCAGAATGAAACAATAATTTCATTATCAAATAAGAAATTCAAATTACTCATTAACTATCCACACCTGTACTCCAGGTTTTTACTCCAAAGGGAACCCACCTGTTCCTGGTTCACACTCTTCCAGATCCTCATCATCACTTGGGCACTCAGCTGATGCCACCAAAATATCATCAGAGCTCTGAGGCTGAAAGAAAATTGAGAATGTGTTGTTTTTCCTCAGTAAATGAATAATTAACACATTTTCCTATCCAGCATCTGTGTTTTTGAAGTGTGTTTATTTTTCTGCTGACTGTTCTATTTAAGGACTGTTGTGTTTTTGCTTGCAGCCACTTTAGACAGAACAAGAGCGAATGTAGCTGCTTTTATCCTGCTGGCCCTGTGGCTGTTTTCATGCACTCATGTACACAAACAAACTAACACACATTACTGAGAAATTACCTGCAAGCTAAATACCACTTTTGTGCTTTTATTTTATTCTATATGATTATTTTAAACACAATTAGGACCACAATTCACAGAATGGGCTGGATAATAAAACAAGAAAAACTTTAACATTTAACGTGAGACAGCCCTGAAGTTGTGTAGGTTTTATATAAAACCAGGAAAAATTGGGTCATACATAAAACCCATCATGAAAAAATACTAATATTTCTTCATCAGGTCTTTAGCCTTATGCTGGTGTATTGGAACTATAATAAATGATAATATAAGAAAAAAATCCCAGAAATTCGGAGATTAATCTGATGTATTTAGGAGATTATACAGATTACAGATATTCTCTAGTGTTGGAAAAACAGCAAGACGAAAAGTCATATTTTCCATGATTAAATGAATTGATTTAAAAGAATAAAAATCCATTGATTTTGCAAGAAAAATTCCCAAATTTACAGCAGAAAAATCTTTAATAATTCATCATTAAACTTTGAATTTTAACTCAGACTGATAATTGACATATGTATTAGTTTTTACTAATTTGTGACTTAATGCGTTGGAATAAATGTCACAAATTTGCACAACAGAAAACACATTTGAAAAACATGTACTGTAGCTGTGGTATTTTCTGCTATTTTAACAAAGCGTGCATCCATTATCCACGTTATTTTTACAATTGATATTGTTGTTAATTTATTGTAATGGAGGAACCGATGCTCGTTGTTCCTAAATATCTCAGCCTTGGTCAAGTTTAGAGAGGAGCCGAGAGGTCAGATATCTGATTTTCTCACTGGTTTCAAGCTGTTCTTTCATTTGAGTTTGAAAGATCATGAAACGGTTCACCCTTTGTACTTTCTGGTAACTTTTGAAGCGCAAAGCTCTTTCTCAGACTTCTAGCTATAGCTATGTTTGAATTATGTTGTGTTTGCACAGACACAGAGGCATTATGTCTGTTGTATGCATCACAAACAAGAAAGATAATCTTAAATTGATATTTCCTAATCATATCAACTTTTTATAACATTAAATCAATAATACCCATTTTGAAGTTCAGTCAAATTATGTCTACTGGTGACAAATGTCTAAATTAGGCCAATGGTTGCAAATATAAAACATAAAAAGAATTTCCAAAGCCCAGTAATTCATCAATTCTCCAACCTTTGAGATGCTCTCCCTCATGCTGGTTGACCTGGGCCTGCGGGTGGTGGTCGTAGCCATGGTGGTCGTGGTCTCCATGATGGTGGTAGACATATCGGAAACGGCCAATGGTGTGGCGGAGGTGGTGTCGGTGGCCAACACCGAGAGTGAGTCTCCAACCAGGCGCAGGTTCCCCTCCACCTGAACACTGGGGTCATTGTCGGCTGCCAGTTTAAGAACCTGAAGGCCGTTGTAGTAGAGTCCTGAAATCTGACCCTGGAAGGGCCGACCTTTGTCATAACCGCCAATTTTAATGGCTGCCTGGCTGTTAAAGATGGTCAACTGTCTCCCTAAAGTTACGCAGAGACACAGAAAAGAAAAAGTGGAGAAATGGAAAGAATAGTAAAATAGACATGGACAAGCCATATGGGAGATGTTTTTCATAGGAAGACAAATTTTAAGTATTATATAAATTAGCGGTACAGATTTTTTATGTTACATTCAGAAGGAACGCAAGTTTAGTCGTTTTATTTTACACTTACAGCTGGGGGGGGGGGGGGTCAAAGCTATTTAGATGTGTATTTAGTTCATTTAAGACATTTTGAGGTTGTTAGCAACAGGTCTCAGGATTAGAAAAGTCTACAGATCTTTTACCTTAGCTATAGCATAAAATTAAACCCTCCTTGCTATATTCAGACTTTGTAAAGCTGACCCAATGCTCTGACTAACTAGTCACTTGTTCCTCCACCGTCCAAGTGTTTTACGATCTGAGAAAAGTCAACAGCACCACTGATAGCAGCCTCACAGATAAACACTTTAAAAGCCCTGAACTGGGGCAAACTAACAAAAATACCTGTAAGCTGCTTTGTAGCTAATTAGCCTATTCATTAATTAGTTTTTATCACTAAGTAGTCAATGGGGAGGCTAAAAGTCAGACCCATCTGCATTTTTCATGTACTTTAGTATGTCAAAACATGTAAAGATAAAAAAAAAAAACAATCTGTCCATGGGTCTCATATTGTCACAAAAAAAAAAAAAAAGAAAAAAAAAGAAGAATGAGAGTCTATGGAGCGATAAAAGTTATTTTCAGATCCTGTTTGATATGTGCCACGAATTTCACATATGATGTCTGAGAATTTTAAAGACACCTTTTGAGGCCTAGAATGCCTTTATTTTCGACAGGCAGCAAAATTTATTTTAGGTTTTTTATGAAAACACAAAATGGACTACAACAGCTTGTCTCATCAAATTTACATCATCAAACCAAACATGGAGAAGAAGAAAAATGATTGAGTTTAGCGAGCTTCCTATCCTTCCTCAAAGATGACAGAAGGAGCATTAACCGTTGAGAAAATCATGATAAATCTGACCATGCAGTAAGTAGCACCTATGCTGGGGAGAAGAGATTCTGCTGTGACGTCATATATGAGACTTATGATTTGTAGTCTTTTAATTAGAATTTTTTTCCAGGAAATAAATCTGAAATTAAGTGACAGACATAGTTGAAATGTACATAATTATTTTTCGTTTACATTGAAGTACAACACATGACTCAGGGTGTAAGGCAAAGCGGATCAGAAAATAACTTTTATAGCCTCGTTAACTTAGTCTTTTGTTTTTTTTTGGTCAAGGGACACATGAACTGACCAGAAGGAGAAGAGACTTAGGCTGGGAATATGTTTGCTTTTTAACCTAGCGTTTATGCGATCACATACTTGATCATATTGACCCTTTGCACGTGACGTCACGCCACTCATGGGACTGCCCCGTTCGCCATGATGGACGGCAAAAAGACCGTTTACACATGTTGAAACTCCGGTGAAGCTAGTCATAACAAGCCCGTTTGTAGCCTTTTATCGCTTTTATTTAGTTGGTTTCATAGTAAAATGGTAACAACTTGCTATGTGGCTGGCTGCACTAACAGACAGGATGTAAAGTCAACTTGTTTTGTTTTTTCTTTCAGATAACGTTGATCAAGACTGAGGACGGAGATGATCTGCAGCAATCAATCGCATGGACTAGCAGCCCTCAGGTTTACAGCGAACGTGTTTTTACCGGTTAAGATTAACGTTTATTTATTTCATGACGAAGACAGGGACAGGGACGGGACAAATGTGATGCGTTCTTCTTCTGATGGATATTTCACCATGGAGGACACCCGGTGCCGCGGTACCGTCCACTGTAGTGAAATGCAAGACAATTAATTACAATATTGCTCCAGTGTATGATTACGTGTGTTAAAATGACATTATTTCGTACAAGCGTCGCCGTTAAGAGAGATCTTGTCTCATCCCGGTGTGAGAGCAGCAGCTGAACATGCGGTGACTCCACCAGCAACAAAAACTAGTAGGGATCCGGACATTTTTAAAATCAGCTTTGGTGTAAAGTGAAACGCTGTTTATAACATAATGTTATAAATCCAATCGGGTGAATTCAGGCAAAGTAGGCAGCTTGTGTACATTAGTGAACAGCTGCAGAGACAACTTAAGCTAACGTTCGTAAGCTAGTTAATAACTCTTGACTTTTGTAAATGCCGCTCTCTATGAGCCCCATCTAGGTGCGCTACTTCTTCTGATAACTGAACATGGGCTTGAACTAGGAGAGGGAACGCTAAAGATTGCAAAAACTATTACAGGCTCTACTTTTCCCTTTGTTTAGTACTCGTGTCGCTCACTGTTTACATGCTTTTGCTGTCCAGTATGGCGGACCCACGTGATTAGGTGACGTAGGTGCAACGGGTCAGTACTTGTTGCTGCATGGAGTACTGGAGGATTCCACTAGGGGGGACAGTACAGTAACTCAGACTAAATAGAGGGCCGAATTTGTAGGGTACAAATAACACAAACATAACAGCAATAGAAGTATAATGTACCAGTGGTCAAATTCTCACCTACAAATGACCAGAAATTAACTTTAATTTGCAGACCCAAAAACACCATCTGTCTGGCCCAGAAAAAAGAACTCTGCTCCAGTCCTGAGATATAACTTTCTCAGTCAAGGTCTCATGCAGCCGAAAGTTACGGCTTATGTTACAGACGACATCAGGGCCGTTTCTCAGTACTCTAGCATGCTAGTACGTTCTTGTGTACTGGACAATAATGTTCTTGGCAAGTACACCAGAAAGTCAAGAGTACGGCAGGACAAGGACTCCATTGCGTCATGGCAACAAGCGCTGCTTGTTTCTAGCTACGGGTAAATGACCTGACATAAAAATAAAGTAACCCTAACACTGATAAAATATCAGCATTTCCCACTGTTCAAAAAATAAAAAAAATTATTTTCATCAAAACAGAGCCACTCCGCTTTTATTTTGAAAGTGGGTTAGCTAATTAGAATTTTGAGGGATCGTGAAAAGTAAACCCCAAATATACACAGCAGATTTTACAGATTATACAAAATTATTTACAATAACTGACAAATTAATATTTCTTTATTAGTGTTTCTGATATAAAACTGTACTGTTATTAGCTTTCTCCTCTGATGTTTGGAGTATAATGGTTGCGATGTAATGCATTATGGGAAATTTTGCTGTCCCAAGTCCGCAGAAGGACGCATTATTGCACCCTCGATACGTTGGACTGAGCAAGAACACATCTGGGAACTGTGAGCGAACTTGCCATGATGAATACTTAGGATTGGAACAGTCCTTGGACCATTACTGATGACATTTCATAAGGACTGAGTACACAAGTACAGACAAGTATGCATATTGAGAAACGGACCAGCAGTTAGTTAATTTTGAGATCACCACAGAAAAATAGACAGCAGTAGTATATCGTAGATAGTAAGACCGCTAAAGCAGAGATGACATGATGGCACGTACGTTCCGCTTGTTTTGTCAACTCCCTCTAGTGGTTACTCATATATTACAGCTTGCAAAAGCATCGCTTTGATTTTAGAGGATGCACAAAAACACTCTAACAAGAGGAAGTTATGGCCATGATAAACACGCTTATTTGTAATTAAAAGCAGGTATGTTCCAGCCTTTAGGTGCCCTATAGCATTTAATCATTATGTAGCAAAAAAGCTAACTATGCTGTTAGCGAAGGAGCTAGGCTAAATAGCTACTTACTAGGCTTACAAAGTGAATAAGCTAGATTTTGCCTAGCTTATTTGCTAATTATCAAACACTGAAGAACTGTATTTTACAAGCTTGTTTGGGTTTTTAGTAGTTATAAAAACAGAGTAGAATGAGACCCTGGCGTAACATAAATAAATAGGTCACAAAAAAGAAAAGTTAGAAAAAAATTCACTGTTCTGACGACAACAAAAAGTTAGGGTTTAAAATGTTTTGTTATTATGAAAGTAGTATTTTAAACAAGTTAGTTTAGTTATTAAAATGTCACACAGCAATTTTTTATGCTAAGTTATTACACACAATATCTATTTACACACAGTAGTTGGGAAGAGTAAATGGGTGTTAGACAAGGGTTAAAAGCTTTTTAAGTTTAGTTTTAAACTTTAAGGTGCAGCATCTTCACAAGGTGCAAGGGTGACATAACTTAGCTTAAAATTGAAAAGATCTTAAAGCAGTCGTGTGGCTGTGAAAAATCACTGCCAACAGAAATACCAATTTATATGGAAACATGTAAAACATGTATCAGACTAATGTGACCCACTTGTGTTCTGGCACTGCACCTCTTAAGGGGAAAGGTTATTTTCTAGTTATTTCAAGGTTTAATTAACTAATTAATTAATATTTTTACCTTTATCGAGTATCCACTCGTCAACTACCCGACCAAGTCTGTACGGGATTCTTTGCCTGGCTATAGCCAGTCGTTCATTATCATAGTGTCCTTCAGAGAATTTGGAGAAACAGATTAAAGGTTAAAGTCTGCAAGCTGAAAAGTCACATGGTTAGAAACAAGGTTATAAGCTAACAGGGTTAACAAGTTAGCAATTTTCATTCAGGAACATTTGCTTTGTTACCTAGTTATTACTAATAACAGCCTTTATAAGGTAATTAGAGTCATGTTTAGGCTATTTATAATTTCCTACACTAGTTAGTGTTAGTCAACTTTTAAGTTACGTCATAGTAAATATCAATAAAAGAACAGCAATTTTATGCAAACAGAGGCTAATTATCAGTAGACACAAGAAACACATGAATCACTTCCAAAGACATTCAGGTAAATCCTTTCATTTAACAAACACATAGAAAAATCATTTTTACACTGAATGCACAATTATTCCAGCTGATTATCCTTTTTTCTCCGGGGTGCAGGTGTGTGTGCACGGGTATCGGACATGTTTTAGAATTACAAAAACAATTCCCAGCTTCTTTTCTTTTTCCTTATGTAAATTGATATAGGAGAAAGATAAAATTCCAAGTAACGAGCATTTGGAGCCTTTATGGTTGTGTTGTCTTTCAGAAACTGCGAGAAGCTGGACAGAGGTGTCAGTTTGGTTACATTTTTATAGCAGCCGCCTCTGAATCGCTAATCAAAGAGGCGTCATGTTTGAGACAAGTACACCAACCTTCAATGGGATTTATATCAGGTGAAGAAAGTGGGAAGGCATAGTTCATAATTCATCATACTCCTCTCTGTCTAGCACTTGAGTACTTGGATGGATGTGGTTACGCTTAAAGAGCATGGGCTATTTCTCTCATCACTACCACATCAGAAAAGATCTTCCAGCAGCTAACATCAGGTTCACCCCATCTTCTACCTGAGGAGGCCTAAGTAGCTGACCCTTAATGATTGCAGCTCCCCTTCACCTTTGTGCTCCCTGATTTTGAATCGATGCCCTGAGTCCATTAGTGATTCAGAGACAGGTGTATCCATCTGCTCCATAAACACTCACTCCCACTTCATCTGTCCATGCAACCGATAAAAAATCTGTCTGAGGTGCTCACTAGGCTGCACGCCGTGGTGGTCAGCTTCAGCTCTCTTCTGCAAAAACCGCTGGGTTAAAAACGACCCAATTTTAACCACTGGGTGAAGTTGCATCAAACACTGGGTCGTTTTCACACCTTCAACCCCACTCCTGGGTTGAACTGGGTTTCAACCAATATTGGATCGAACTAATTCAAAATTTGACCCAATGGCTTCAACCCAGCAGTTGGGTTATGAAAACAGCCCAGTATTTTTTAGAGTGTAGCTCTCACAATGTCTCCAAGGAACTCCACACCTAAGTCTGCTCGACAATCCCTGCAAGAAGAAGTTCTTGATGACGGCAGCTTCTTGTAAAATTTTAATCACATCTTTTGAAATAAAATGGCCCTTTCTTCTTGTCAAGGTGAATTTTGAACACTGACACTAGCTTTGAAGCAGCCCAATAACTGTGCACACTTCTGTCACCCAAGGCGACAAGGATTATCTAAGGATTATCATCCTGGATAATCATTTAATTTCAGACAACAATCAACTTTATTATTTTTTGGGGGTTGTGAAAAAATCCAAACAGAAATAATGATAATATCAAAAATGTCACTCTTCAAATAATTGTGCATGAAGTGTTAATGAAGTGCATGGTTTAGTGCAGGCTCATGAAATGGAGCCCCTGAGATCAGATCAGTCTGTTAATAAAAATGTCTTACAAAACAAATTATAAACAAACAAGCAAACATTGAGAAAAACAACATTGCTGCCATGAGCTCATCTAGTTTCCTGCAATGGATGAAGGGTCAGTCAGCTGTAACATGAAAACCGCATTTCAGCTTTTAAACAAGATGGAAAACAAAGCATAAAAAACACAAGTGAGGCATTAAAACAGCTCTTTATTAAACACATGCAAAAATAAACAAACAAGGAGAAATGTGCATCAAAAGAATAAAAATCTCCCTGGATAATAGGAAAACATTATTAATTCCAACATGGATGGATGATATAATTTATCATTAGAGACAAAGCTACAATTTTTTTTTATTGTCAAGAAATACTTAGCTTCCTTGTCTGTTGAACGTTCATATGAAAGCATATAATTGATTAAATTGATTTGAAAAAAATCAGTTCAGCCTTGTGACTAGATAGTGTGGGAAGTTATATGAGATGTGTGAAAATACGCCTCGTGAATATTCACATTAAAACGTTTCACACAAAATCTAAATGTTTTTTTTTAAGTGAGGGTTTGACATTGTAAATTTGTGTTTGAATAACAAAGATTAGTGCTAATCAGATCGATAGGCTAATAGTTAGTCAGAGTAAAGCCAATTACAAAAATATGTCCATCAGAGATGTGTGCAAATGCGTTTTAAACCCATTTACCTTGTTGACAGTCAACAATGCTACAGCTAGCTTTCTGCTAATTTCCACTGTAAATAATCCTAATATTCAATATAAACAGTTATGTGATGCAAAAATTCAAGTTTTTTTCAAAACAACTGAAACTATTATTTTTGAGAAACAGAGAGATTCAGGGAGTAATCCACTTTAACTGGTTGTTAGCTCCTCAGTTTAGTCAGAACTAATTCTTATTTCTCCAAGCTGAGGCACTTCAAAGAACAAACTACAACAAAATTTCATACTTTTCAGTATTCTTCCACGAAAGCAGGTTGAATCGCTTTGTGGTTCTCTCAAAGGAGAGCAAGCCGTCGGTGTTCTGAATTTTCTGGTTTAGCACACAACCCTGCAGGTCCAAAGCAGACCAACCATGTTTTATTTATACGTGTCATTTACAGCGTGTGACACCCACTCGCGCTGCATTTACCTGTTGGAATGTTTAAAAATCCCTGATTACTGAGTGGAAGCTGAAAACGGGCACACACACATGCTCGTGTGTGTGTGTGTGTGTGTGTGTGTGTGTGTGTGTGTGTGTGTGTGTGTGTGTGTGAGCGCTTGTGCTGAAAGCACCAGCTGGAGGCAGAGAGGAGACGGTTTCTTCTCATTATACCCGTTCACACCTGCTCTGGATGATGTTAATTAGCTGATTGGCTCAGAGCAGGTTAAAGGAGACTGTTGTCGTTACATTAATGTTTATTTTATTTTAGAACATGTATTTTATGTCTTTGTGTGTGGGTCTGTTTTCAGTATGTGTTTGATTCCAGCTGATTTCCTTTGTTCTTGTAAACGTGTGATTTGATGCTTTTCACCAGACAACATTTAGGTCTATATATAAACAATCATGAAGATAATTATATTAATGTAATATTTTTTACACGGTTAACATTTTATGCTAAATCTTAGTTAATTAGGTCTGGTTGCTTATCCAGAGTTGGTATAATTAGATAAGTTTGATAATCTACTGAAACATCTTTTCCAGATCTCAAAAATCCCAATATTCTTCCTAAAAAAATGTGATGAAAAAAAATGAGTTGACACACGAGATCTAAGATGAGCCACAGAGCAGAAACGTAATTCTGATGGACAGATATATCTGCAGCGGTGCAATGCTAACTAAAGCAGCCATCAAGAGCCTCACCTGGTGGGTACCGCTCTATGACAGGATGGTTGTCCACCTGGAGAGTGGCGTTTCCACCACTGCGTGTAAAGCGCACAACATGGTACTTGCCATCATTTACAATGACGGCAGGCTCATCGATGCTGATGTCATCCGTTCCAACGTTGAAAATGACGCCAACCTTCCCTTGATCCTTCAGGAGAAATTAAATTAATGTGAGAAATCAAACAAATTCAGAAGTCTGTCATTTCCTCATTTTAAACACTTCTCCATGAACTTTTGTTTAGAATCAGCTTCGTTGCATCTTTGATTTTAAACGTTGTTCCTGCAAATCAAATGAGCCTGGAGTGCTTTTGGATGCATGATGAAACTTGAGGTGTTTGACGGAGCACGGAAAGAGGGATGTGTGTGTGTGTGTGTGTAGGATGCAGCCATGTTTTGCTGCACAGATTGCAACCAGTCGAATATCTTTCACCAGCTCACAGCTATGACTGGGAGAAATGAGAAAGACCCTGACAGCAGTCATTTGGTTTATTTTCAAATACTCACAAATACAAGCATTAGCAAGATTTCTATAGAAACTATATGATCTGACAAATAAAACAATGGAATACAACATTCTGAGTCAGCTTTACTTGGTTTTGTAAAAAGAGCTGATGGACTGTGGGAGGCAGGAATGGAAACTCGTGAATAAGCTCAGCCTTTTTTCTCTTTGAGAGAGGAAGCCAATTTTCACCAGAATGAAAGAAGAATCAAATGTTAGCCAAAAAATAATAAAAAAGAGGTTCCCACAGGCATATCTTGGTTTTTCTCTGACGCGTGACCAAGATAAATGGCTCTGGTCCCGTCAGGAACTTCCACTCTGATCACAGTAATGCCAAAACTGATCCTATTTAACAACATCTCACAGTTTCAAATAAAGAAATGGCATCGTCGGTAGAGGTGGAAATCGTGTTCAAGCAGAAAAAAACCAACACGTCCTTATTGTCACGGACGATATACTGTGTTCATCCTGTAGGGTCTGGTGCAAGTTCTCCTCCACAGTCCACTCAGGTTTCCTGATCCTAAACACTTCTGACAGAATCCTGCTGTTTGCCTTTTGGTTAGACAACGTCTCTTTCTTTTACCCAACTCTAACCAAACAACCTCCCTTAAAGGTCACAGCTGCACAGGCTAGCCTTTGGCTGGCACTATTAAGAAACATTGGAAACAAAAGGCGTGAGGTGCTTATTAGCTCCAGGAGACTTACCATACTGAAGTCTTTCTAAATGCAAGGCATGGTCACACACACACACACACACACACACGCACGCACGCACGCACGCACGCACGCACACACACACACACACACACACACACACTCACGCACGCACGCACGCATGCACGCACGCACACACACACACTCACACACGCACGCACGCATGCACGCACGCACGCACGCACGCACGCACACACACACACTCACGCACGCACGCACGCATGCACGCACGCACACACACACACACTCACGCACACACACACACACACACACTCACGCACGCACGCACGCATGCACACACACAGAGGTCATAACTGTTTTGAAATTACAAATAATATTAAAAGTCAGTGTAAAGAGATCAGCACAGGCCTGTTTTTCAGTCTCATCCATCCACAGAGGGCCGGTGATGCGCTCACACTCAAATGTAAAGTAACATGTTGCACACTAATAGGCTGTTAAATCCCATGCCTGCACCATTTGTGTCTCTGCTGTTTACTATCAGGAACAAACAGTCTGCAGATTCTTCTCTAAACAGCAGCTGGCTGTGTCATATCACACCTCCAACCAGAGAATGGAGAGTAAATAAACACTGAAATTAGAAATGAGAACCCGTAAATAGAATGCTCCTGCATGACAGATGAAGTTTACAATATTGACTTGCCTTGCAGCCATTTTGTTGATAATTTGCAGGCTGAGCTTGACCTTTATGTCATACGCTCAATGCATCATTTAATATAAATGATTATACATTACTGACTGAGAGGCTAACACACAACTCTAAACATGCAGATGGACTGTATTGTCTCAACAACAGCCTAGTATTTATTGTCTCTGGGGCACTGGCCGATAGCGTCCCAGCTGTAGGAAATAACTAGCGTGCTAAAAAGTACTGGATCTCCTTTCCCTTCTCACTCCATCATGATTCCACTATAAGAGTTCTCGGAAATTTCTGGGATGGGTAAAAGTGACTGGGAAATATGACTGCTTGGTCCCCTCAGCTGTTGTGTCTCCATACAAAATCAACCCTTTCAGCACTTTGCTCAGACTTCAGCATGTCGCCACTGCTTTGGCAGTGAGTGATGTCACTGATCAGACCAAAAGGTGTAAACTGACATTAACCCACTGGAGTCAATCCACGCGCCGGCGCGTGGTGGCGCACTGGTCGCATTACTCCAGTTATAATGCAACCTTGAAGCCACTTAGTGTCATGATTGCAGCTTGATTTGAAAAAGGGGGCTTAAAACTAAATAAACGTTGTGATTTCACATGTTTTTCCAAGTAAATGTAAAACATGTAAGATAAATAATTCATGCCAAGGTAAAGGTGCTTTTGCGCATTCCATCTGTGGCAAATGCAGAGCAAAATCCTGCCAACGGAGATCTCTGTTGGCTCCGTCGGCTCTCTCGCTGCTTTTCACCATGAGCTGGGTCACGGGAGTCGGGAAGAAAAACAAAACCAAGCTCCTCCTATAGGCTGGGATACCAACCAGATCACCCAGTCACAAAATCACTCATAATTTGTTCACCCAATCACAAAATCATGCGTTAATAGTTGCCAGGTGCAAGCAGGAACCGATGCTGCTTCCAGGTGGACAAAGCTCTGTGAATTACAGCCTTTTGGGGGGATTTTCACCCTTTTCTAGGTGTTGGAAGTTTAGAAACTGCGATTTTAAAGCAGTATGAACTGCTCATTGTCTTTTCTTTCTATTCTGTTTCACCAACTCTTCCAGTTTTAATATTGTTGTTTTCTTTTAGTGGTGTTTGCTGATGTCATTTCCTACTGAGTTACAACCAATCAGCATGAGTTAACCACAAGTCCCAGTCAGCGACTTCACCGGGCCATTCCAAGGACCTACCGCTGTTCAAGTACTCTGTTGGTTCCTGAAATGGCCTGGAAAATGTTCCATTTGAGCCAGCCTGGTGAAATGGAGACACTCGTATATGCCGTGAAGACCCGGTGAAATTACCCCAAAAGTTCTGATAGTGGAAACGGACCTAATTGGTTGCTACTGAAAAATGGTAAACATGTCTTAGAACTTTGGCCTTAACCTGAAATTATGTTTAAAATAATTCCAGGAGTCTTTGGAATTAAAGTAAGTACAGAAGAGCCAAGTTTTCCAGAGACCTTCAGCATCATATTAATAATAGAACTTGACAGACAGGCTAGCGGTCAGGGGCGTGTCTGAGGCTAGCTGGACTTCATTGTGATTTGTATGATGGCTGATTTAGGATGCTACAGCTACAGCTGGATATTCAAACCCACAAAGCAAATGAAACCCTTAGTGTCCAACATCTCCATGAAGCTGCTGCTAATTAGAGTCAGTGTTACAGTACCTTGGTTGAGATGATTAGAGCGTAAGGCCTTGCTGTTAAGAACACCTAAGTCACATGTTCTACTAAAGCATGCTGGGAATGCCCATTATCACCTTTTCACATATATAATTAACAATAGTTACACTATCTCCTGAGTTATGACCCTCACAATTAGTGTTTGCTGGTATTCTGCTTCCTTTTAAGAGGCTATGTACTGTATTTTCCGGAGTATAAGTCGCACCAGCCATAAAATGTATGATGAAGAAGAAAAAAACATATATAAGTCTCACTGGACTATAAGTCGCATTTTAGGGGGAAATTTTATTATTTTTCTTACAAAATCTGAGACCAAGCGTTTCACCTTGCAAGACAAGTACCGGTAACAATAACAGAATAAAAAACCAGGGCGCAGCAGTTTCAAACCCTCCCAGCAGGCGGGGAGAGCTCATTCCTGGGCCGGAGCCGGCCGGCAGCAGTGCACAGTAGTCTCCAGCAGGTGATGGCAGGGCAGGGGAGCTCATTCCTGGGTCGGAGCCGGCCCGCAGCAGCGCGGTATACATAATTTGGTATATAAGTCACTTTGGTACACAAGTCGTAGGACCAGCCAGACTTTGAAAAAAAAGTGTGACTTATAGTCCGGAAAATACGGTATTTGTCCGTGGTTTAATTACTGTTCAGGTGAAGCCATCTGATGAGGAATTGATGCACATCTACGGGATAGTGCGACCTCAGGTCAAACTCAACCGTGTCTGTTGGTCAACATTAAAACAGGCCAGAGCAAAAGTCTGTCTGAACAGCAGCAAGCTTCCACCAAGATGAGAGAAAGCTACCGAACCTTTTTGACATGTGGCGCCACAAGTTTGGTATTTCAATTCGTTCATCGTTAGTGTAAAACTAAGCAGGTCTTCGTGAGAAGATGAGATATCTCCCGCTTTAGTGACACCAGCTGCAAATCAGAGCTGATGTTGTATTTTGTTGGAAAATTTTCAGACAATGATTATGAGGATTTATCTTTGTTTAGGAGAGAAACCCTTTCAGGCCTCTGACAATGACGCATCTAAAATGAGATACCCATTGCCACTTGATACATCTTTTACCAGAGCATTAAAGTGGACCCATCATGATTCTTTTAAAAGACCGGCACATCTGTCTGTCTCAGTTTGTCGCCAGCGACCGCCTGTCTCTGTTCCAGTTGGCTTTATTCGACTTTTAACTGAAGATGTCTCAGAGCTGGTGGGAATTCAGAAGCTTCTTATCTTTTAACGTTCCCACAGGAACAAGGGAGTGTCTTTTCAGCAGCTCGGCGATAGTGATGGCATGTGGTAATAGAAACAATTGTCAGTGAGAGTGGAGCGCGGATTTCTTTCTTTTTTATTTCAGATTACGTGATAGAAAGGAAATATATAAGAAAAACGCTCTCTTTTCCCAAACGATCAAAGGCTAGTGTGTAGTTTAAAATGGAGTCTGTGTGAAAACAAGTCATTAATGTGAACTTGACATCAAACACAAGCAGAAAGAGTTCACTTCAAACATTCTAATTTAACTGGTGTTCATGTGGAATATGTAATTACTAGGCTGTGTGCCTGTGCACGGATAATGTGAAGGGGCGGCGCATTGTAAAAG